GTCCCAACATTCTAAATACAGAGAAACGAGATCAAAACGTTTTGATTACAGTAAACATGATTTAACTTTTGTTTAAGCAAATTTTCAGATCTAAATCTTTATAAAACCCAACATTTGAGAGCTCTTGTAAACTGAAACTTTTGATTCTTGCTAACCATATGTAGAGAGTTCATTTATACAAAAAAAATATCATTTTGGCTCATCAAAACCCATAAAAACTCAAAAGAAAATCATAGAAAACAGGGGTGAGGGATTGGGCGAGATGGTACTCGCCTTGGGTGTTGACGAATGCCCTAGATCTGTAGTAGGTTGATTCCTTTCGCTGGAATTCCAGAATCCCGCTGAAATTCCTCAAGAACTCCCCCAAATCACCAATGCCAGCTAGGGTTTTGAGAGGGGAGAGAAAGGGGGCTAGGGTTTGAAAACTCAGATGATGAGAGACTCTCCTGGGTTGAGTTGGTGTATATACTAACTCCCAAACCCGACCCGAAACCTAAAAGACCAAATCAAAACCGTAAAAAAGATCCAGCCTGGAAACTATCTGACCGTTGTGCGGTCGACCGCGTCGGTCGACCGCATCGGTCGACCGCGCAACACAAAAATACCTGCTGCTTGTTATATCACAAGCTGGCCAAAACTCTCGATTTCTCTCACTTAAAATCACTTGTTTGGTTCTCAAACACAGATAATTACATTCATATGACATATATATGTGTATATATATGATTATTCATCACAAGGAAAATTTTACTATTAATAATTCACATATATTTATTGTAGAAATTTTCGGGGTTTTACATTCTTCCCCCCTTAAAAGAATTTCGTCCTCGAAATTCGGAAATCATGCGAACTTGAAATATGAACTCTTAGATAACCTTATAGAGATATTTACACTTAACGATCTGAAATGATAATATTCTCGCTCAAATCCTAATCTAGTGGAACTAGTACATCGGGCGAAAAATCCAAACAAGAAGCATTTCAAAATATTTATCTGACATACCGCTAAGCGTCTTAATATGAAGGAGTTTCAGCATAAATGAAAATCTGGAGTACTCGGTACATCCCTCATATAAGTCCTTTTCACTATCTTCTAGTAACTCCATTATTCGCTTTATTTCTGCGGAGGAATGCATATCATCAATATTTTCGACACTCGCGACACCTCCTACCTCTTCGACTTCAACTTTGTTATCATCTTCACTTTTGTCTCCAATATCATCCTCGACATTATCATCAACATCATATTCTGTAGGTCGAGGAAAAATATCATTCAACAATGTTTCTGTGTCATCTATTCGTTGGCCACCGGACGTACCAACATGCATATTTGGATCCTCATCTTCAGTGATACCCTCCCCATGCCAGTTCCAGTATTTATATTTCTCATCAAAACCTGATTTTATTAGGTGAATCCGTATATCATTTCAATTCAGCAGCTTCAAATTCCTACACCTATAACAAGGACAGTACATAGCACCGCTTCTTAAATTTCTCGGAATCATTTCCGCATAACGCATGAAGGCTTCACATCCCTCCTTGTATCGTGTGTCGTGAAATCTACGATGCCTAGGGATATCTATCCATGACTTGTCAGGAATTATCCTCATCTGTAAATTATATATAAATATTAAATACGATTAGTCTCACAACTACTAATACATCCATTACTCTTATACATTCAACACACATCAAACATACGTTCATATATCATTTAACAATATGAATATTTATCTACATAAAATATATATAAAACGTACGTAGAAACTAATTACACTAATCTTGCGGCTGTCATAGGAAGGCTTTTATCCATTAAGAATATAGTAGTGCTTACATCCAACTTCATATACTTTGTATATTTTCATTTCTTGAAAATTTCGGCAGCACCTACCCGCTGTTCTCCCTGTACACTGTGCGGATGTTATTATGCGTATCAGTAATAACCCGAAACGCAGAACAACATACACTTATTGTACACTGAGAACAACGAATAGGTGCTGCCAAAACTTTCAAGAATGAAAATATACAAAGTATACAAAGTTGGATGTATGCACTACTATATTCCTAACCCGTCCGAGAAGGACAGATCCAATAATTACGAATTTCAGTTCTAATTTTTTATTCCTATAATATAAAATAAACGCTCATTTTTTGGAGAAAACTTCGTCTCCTACCCAAATCTGAGTCGTATATCATATATTATAAGTCCAAATAATTGGATGTAATTATTGGACGGAAGTCTAGGGATAACGTTATTTTTTTATTCACCTAAATTGGATTATAACACATTATAAAAATTTATAATGTGTTATATATCACTCTATTTTTTACAAAAAATTATTTCACATATTTTCACATCACAAACTTAAATAATCACACATACTTATAGCACGAATGAAACTTAAATGAGTTAGGGTTTATAAGTGTTTAAAACTCAATAATGATAACTAGTGTTGTTCAAATGAATTAACATGTATTTAATTAAGTTAGGATTTTCAGAATTGAACTCGTTTATTTTTCAACATAATTAGGGTTTTTAACCAAATTCAACAATAATTAATAATAAAATTGAAATTTCTAAAGCTCAGTAGAAAAATCATACCTTTTAAACTGATTTCCGCAACGGACACCGCCGAAGGAGGGGGGGTCGGGAGGGGGCTAAGCCGGATTGGGGAGGTGGACTGTCGGGGGGGACTGGGGGAGGTCACATGGCGATGCCGCCAGCTCGGCCGCCCGAGGGGAGGGGGGCTACGCGATGGGGGGAGGGATGGGGGGCTCAAGGGAAGGGGGGGAGGGGGAGGGCTGGCCGGAGGAGGGGGGGGGGACTGCCTCGAGGGGGGAGGGGGGGATGGAGGGGTCGAGGTAAGGGCTAGGAGGGAGGGTTGCCGAAGGAGGGGAGGGGGGCTGCCTGAGGGGGGGGCTGCCCAGAGAGAGGGGAGGGGGGGATGGAGGGTCGCAGGAAGGGGGGAGGGGGGAGGAAGGGCTGCCGGAAGGAGGGGGAGGGGCGGGGCGCCGAAAGGGGGGAGGGGGGGATGGAGGGGTCGAGGAAGGGGGAGGGGGATGGGGGGCTTCCGGGAAAAGGGGGTGGCGGAAGGAGGGGTCCGGAGGGGGGCGGAGCCGAGGGGGGGCGGGGGGAGGCCGGAGGAGGGGGAGGCCGGAGGAGGGGGTTGGTAGGGGGGAATGGAGGCTCGGGAAGGTGGACGCGAAGGAGGGGGGGGTTGGGATGGGGGGCGGCCGAGGGGGGCGGGGGGGGAGGCCGGAGGAGGGGGATGGAGGGGAGGAAAGGGGGACGGGGGAATGGGGGTTGCCGAAGGAGGGGGGGGTCGGTGAGGGGGAGGGCTGCACGGAGCGAGGGGGAGGCGCGGAGGAGGGGAGAGTCAGGGAAGGGGGTCGGTGGGGGAGGCGGAAGGAGGGGGGTCGGAGGGTCGGGAAGGGGAGAGTAAGAGGGTTTTGAGAGAGAAATGGGGGGGGGGGTGGCGGCTGATTTGCCCTAGGCAAACTTGATAGTTTGCCCTAGGCAACCTAGACGGAATTTCCGTCTAGGTTAATTCCGTCTAGGTTGCCTCAACCTAGACGGAATTTCCGTCTAGGTTGCCTCAACCTAGACGGAAATTCCGTCTAGGTTGACTAGTCAACCTAGACGGAATTTCCGTCTAGGTTGCTTCAACCTAGACGGAATTCCGTCTAGGTTGACTGTTCCGTCTCGTTTGTCAAACTAGACGGAATTTTCCGTCTAGTTTGATCCAAACTAGACGGAACAATCTAGACGGAAATTTTCCGTCTAGTTTGCTCCAAACTAGACGGAATTTTTTTCCGTCTAGATTGTTCCGTCTAGTTTGGTCGATTTTCTACTAGTGAGAATCCCAGCATAAATTCCATAACCAATCTCAGTAAGGCAGAGCTGAAAGAGCATTGAAAAACCAGATGGTTTCTAGACTCAGCCAAGCCATCACAAAGCACACATCTATTATCCTGAATCACACCAAATTGTTGTAGTCTCACCTTAGTTGGCAATCTGTCAAGACAAGCAAGCCAAAATATAATTGAGTGTTTATGGATATTTAATCTGCTCCACACCAAATGAGACCAATTTTTCTTCTCAAAATCCCCATCAAGCACATTATAAGCAGCAGTAGAGCTAAACTCAGGTGGTAATCCTTTTTATTTCCAGTTCCCTTGCACAAGTTCCACACAAAGCATAGCATCACTTCTAAGTTCAAGCAATCTTTTAAACATCCAAGAACATGATGATTTAGGAACAATCTCCCAAAGAGTGGAATTTCTGAGGTAATAGCCGTGAACCCACCTCACCCATAAAGAATCCTTCCACTACTAAATAATGAGGCATCCTAGACGGAAATTTCCGTCTAGGATACCTAGAATTCCGTCTAGAATGCGTATTCTAGATGGAATTCCGTCTAGAATACGCGTCTAGAATGTTTCAGTCTAGAATGTAGTATTCTAGACGGAAATTCCGTCTAGAATGCATTCTAGACGGATTATTATAGACAGAATTCAAAACTGTCTAGAATACATCCTAGACGGATTATTCTAGACGAAATTTCCGTCTAGAATACTACATCCTAGACGAAAAAAAATTTCGTCTAGAATTGTTATCCTAGACGGAAATTCTGTCTAGGATGACTATCCTAGACGGAATTTCCGTCGAGGATGTTTCTAATTTTTTTAAATTTTTTTTTAAAAAAATCAAGTATTCTAGACGGAATTTTAGCATCCTAGACGGAATTTCCGTCTAGGATGCTATGCTACAGTAGTTTTTTTTTTTTTTACAATTAAGCCAAAAAAAAATGAAACATCACACCAAAGGAATAGACTCAAAACAATTGCTGGAGGAAAATGCCCCCATTTGTAACTAGGTAGAGATGAAAATCTTCCGAGTATTCTGCCAATATCAAGATCCAATAGACTCAAAACAATCATAAAAGAAATCTAAAAGGCTAATATAGCCTCAGTTTGAAAATAACAGGTGGTCATACCAAAGGAATTCTTATTAAGTTGCACAGAAGGGTCTGCACATAAACTTGAAGAAGCTACATATGATTATTCAATCTCATTGTACATCACATCAGTCCACAATATCTCAGAAGCTACGACTTACACACCAATTTGCACACGCATAGACAATGCAAAAAGACAACAATATATGGCGCATATATAGCACATACACATATCAAAAGAAGCTTCAGATATCACTCCTACTCGGCTTGTTTGAAACCGGAATCACCTGCAGCAATCAGTTAAACACACCCAAATTTCCAATTAATTACTTTCAGATATCATGTTTTAACCGCCCACTCCAAAAGAATAAATAAGCATATAATCATAATTCTAGCGGAATTTTAGAAAAGCTAAATTAAAAAATAATAATAATAAAAAGAAAGATGGGTTATATATACCGTAAGCTATTCCCTTCCCTTGTCCTGAGCTTTTGCAGATAACCCCAACAATTCGTTCATGCTCTGCACAATTAAAATATAAAATCTTAAAAATCCTCAAGCATATCAAGCAGAGTGCCCAAAAGGATATTTGTAGTTTCCTATGTGTATCAGAAAGCTCAGATAAGACTGCAGCTTCCTAAAGCATAGCCGGAAGTTAAATAAAAAAAAAAGAAAACAGTATCTATATCTATCAAGCTTCAAAGTTCAAAAATCTATTGAGACATAAACTAAATAATACACTATCTAAGCTGAGACTCCTACATTCCTGAGTAAGCATAATAACTATGTTCTCTATGATTTAAAATATTGTTCATACTAGCCATTTGTATAAACAGAACTCTACTAATTTTGACAACTCGATGTTTACATGGCTGAATGTGTTTACACGTCTGGTGTTTTTCGAATTTGGACTCGAATACTTGATATTTGATAAATATTCATGGATGTTCATATCCTATACAGATGAAACAACCATTAAAAGAATAACTCACCACCCAACCAGAACCTTGCAAAGCAGCTTCTTCTGAGTTCATTTTTTGCACTAGAGCTTCCATTGAACCAAACTCTGTGTCAATAGCCCAACCAAGTGCACCATGTGGAGGTTCACCACCTCCCTCCTATCAATCATAAAAGCACTATTCTTTGTTGGGCCGAAATGAATAAAAGAGAACCAACTTACATTGACAGGCTTGAGATTATTCCAGAATACAGAGTGATTGATATGACCTGCAAGAAGGTATCACAGTAAGCTATATACAGAAGTGTGATAATGCAAAATGAATTCAGCCTCATACAAGAAGTATCTGGAAGTTATTGTGTACGGCTATAAGAGCAGGAATATGCTAACAAACTATCAAGAGAATTGAGCTACATCTAGCAGAAAAATTTCCTAGATGACACAGCTTCAAATATATTCAATTCCACCAACATAGGATAAACAGCTTCCAAGTTCCGAATGTTCTTGATTGCAATTAACTTTTGCACATAGTGACACCAAAGGTATATATTCAGCTTCATGGATAGAAAACAACTATCCATCTGCCTGTCCCCAATCAAGTTCTCCTATAATTCAATTGGGCATGACAGGGCTACAATAGTGTACTCTAATTTTCAAGGCTATATGAGTCTCATCATATGATTCAAAAAACCAACAAAGCAGAGCAAACTCATAAAGTAGCTTTATTTAAATTTAGAGTAGCTTGTTTTTTCTTGATTTCCCAACTATACGACAATTTTTTAGAGGTGAACCACGGGAGCACAAGACATTGTAAGACCTTTAACATTGCATATGGACAAACATTGGATTGTGTAGGAATTTACCTTCCTTAAACCACCTTCTCTCATGGACAATTATATATTTCCTTATCATGTTCTAGAGCTATTGACTCTATTAAGATACTCAAAAAGCCAAATCTTAATGACTCAAATGATGATTGTACCATAAAATATTAACGCTTGTAAAAAATAATCTTAATTTTATCATACAAAAACTGGCTTTGAACTAAAAATACATCAAAGATATTAACACACAGACAAAAATGGCCTACTCCTGAGTAGGTCCGGAACATTCATCAAAATTGTTCGCAAAAGACACCAAGACTCTTTCCCCCTAATACAGATTTCACCCGAAACAGAAACCCTAGGTTCAACAAACCCGCACAATTCGTAGATCACAGAAACAAACCCACATTTCCTGCCAATAAACCTAAAACAATCCAAGATCTACTGTAATCCAGCAAACAAACACAATACGAGACCAAAACAGGAAAAAATTCACAGATTTGAAACGAATCGAGGAGATTCAGCTCACCTCATGCTTTGATAGAGGCTTGCACTGCATTAGCTGCGTGATCTGCTCGTCGAGGTTCCCATGCGAATTGGATGATGGAACCGGATCTATACTCATCATCTCCTCTAAATGTTAACGAATCGAATCGAAGAGGATTTAACAAATGAGGCGAATTTGAGCGAGAAAAACCCTAACCCTAGCCCTAGCCCTAATTTCGAGCCGTTCCCAATAAGAGGAGGTGGGAGAGGTGGAGAAGGGAGAGGTGGTGGAGGCCATGGATGGAGAAGGAGTAGAGGGGGAGAGAGAGGTAGGGGGTGAGGTTGAGGAGGGAGAGGGAGAGGAGGGGGAGGCAGTGGAGGGAGGAGTAGGAGAGGGGTTCCTCAAATTATGGAATTTGGGGATGAAGTATTCGTTTTTGGGGGGAAAAGAAGGCATTCGCGGGATTATTGGGTAAATTTTATTTTTAAATCGGCTAAGGGGGTGTTTGTTTCAAATCCCAAAATTTATGGATATGGATTTCACCATAGAATTTGAAATCCTAAAATTTTTTGTGGGTTTTGGGATCTCTAAAATTTTGTTTGTTTCATTAATATTTTAGGATTTGGAATACTATAATTTGTAATATTTTGTTTGTTTCATCAATATTTTGGGATTTGGAATACTATAATTTGTAATATTTTGTTTGTTTCATCAATATTTTGGGATTTGGAATACTGTAATTTGTAATTTATACGTATAATTTATTTTATGATATTTATTATATATTATTATGCAATATCACATACTATATTATATAATAGTACAAAATATATATTATAATATTATATAATATTTTAATAACATATATTATTATATAATATATTATATTAATTATAATAGATATTTTTTTATCCATTATATTATAGTGTATTATATTAAACCAATATAATAATATTAAACTAATATAACAATATTATATATATATTATGATATAATATAATATAATACTATAGTTTGAAATAATATAATATATTATACTATAACATGATACCTTTTAATATATATTATTGTAATTATCATGTAATATATATAAGACAATATTGTCTTAATATTTTATAGAACAACCTAATTTTTTGAGTAAAATTAGAAATATTTGGAAGAGATTTTCACGAAATTTAAATATTTTAATACTTATTTTGTGAATGCTTTTATCATATAAAATTTTATTATAATTAGCATTAATGTTTAGTTTATGGTTTTTAATGAAGTCTATCGATGATTAGGAATAAGATCCATATTTTAGCCACTTCTAATCAATCGTCTATGCTTATTGGTTTTAATTATTCCTTTTACTATTATAATGCTATTTTAAGTATTTTTTACTTTTACAGCACTATACTTTATTAGGTAAAACTTTGTTTCATGTCGATTTAAATAACATGCATATTCCAATTGGTTTTATTTTGGTTTCGTGTCAATTCAATTATCAGCATAAAACTTAAAATTGAGTGTAGCCCATTCAAATAAATATTAAAAAAAGATAAATAACCGCCATATTAAATTTTAGAAACATAAATGAGCAAAAGTTATCAAATTAAAATCAAAGAATAAATTTTAGTAAAAAAATAAAATAAAAATAAATAATTACGATACTTAAGTGCTAAGGGCCCGTTTGGATTGATTTTTTGGAGGTGTAAAATGGGGGAAAACTGTCAAAAATATCAGCTTTTTGGCAGCTTTCTCTTAAAATCGTCTTTTCTCGTTTTACGGCTCTAAAAAATCAATCCAAACGGACCCTAAGCGCATAGAATACAGTATCGGAAAACATAAAACTCGTTTTCCATTCTTTGGCGTTTTGCGGGTCAAGGAACAAGATTTGCAAATCTAGCGGTATGGATTTCCAACGTGAAAACAGCAGTGTATTGTCGCATCAAGCCAAATCAGGGAAAAAGCAAGAGGTCAAAAAAATTTCAAAATCTATAAGGGGGTGTTTGTTTCATTTTTTTTTAGGATATAGGGTGGATTTCAAATTTTGGGATGTAAAAAGTGATTTTTTTGAGTTTTGGTTTTCCTTAAACTTTGTTTGTTTCACTTTTTTTTTTGGATATTGAATCCCTAAATTATAAAAAAATAATATATTTTTAGGATTTGTGAAATCATCTCTTTTGTTTCAACTTTTTTTTGGGATATAAGGTGGATTACAAGTTTTTTGGGTTTCAGAATTCCATAAACAATGTTTGTTTCAAAATTAATTTTCGGATATTGAATCCCTAAATAATAAAAAACTATTATATTTTAGAATTTGTGAAATCCTACAATTGAGAGAGGATGTAGGTTGGATATTGATGTATTAATGCTTATAATATAAGATTAATATAAGATTAATACATCTATTCCTCTATAATTATAGGAGGACCCAAGAATCACTGTTCATGCTTTAGTAAATGCTGCAGTAAATTATCATTGTTCATGCTATAGTAAAATCTGTAGTAAATTACTGTAGCATTATATATATTACATATAATATTATATATGTATATATATTATATATAATATTATATATATTATATATATTATATAATATATATATATATATTATTTATTATATAATATAATATATTATATATATATATATAATGCTACAGTAATTTACTGCAGCATTTACTAAAGCATGAACAGTGATTCTTGGGTCCTCCTATAATTATAGAGGAATAGATGTATTAATCTTATATTAATCTTATATTATAAGCATTAATACATCAATATCCAACCTACATCCTCTCTCAATTGTAGGATTTCACAAATTCTAAAATATAATAGTTTTTTATTATTTGGGGATTCAATATCCCAAATTTGGTTTTGAAACAAACATTGTTTATGGAATTCTAAAACCCTCAAAACTTGTAATCCACCTTATATCCCAAAAAAAAGTTGAAACAAAAGGGAAGATTTCACAAATCCTAAAAATATATTATTTTTTTATAATTTAGGGATTCAATATCCCAAAATTAATTTTGAAACAAACAAAGTTTATGGAATCCCAAAACTCAAAAAAAGCACTTTTTACATCCCAAAACTTGAAATCCACCCTATATTCCAAAAAAAAAGTGAAACAAACACCCCCTAAGTATCCTAGACAGAAATTTCCGTCTAGGATACTATTCTAGACGGAAATTTTCGTCTAGAATACTTGGTTAATTTAAAAAAAAAATTAAAATTAAATAAACCGTCTACTTTACTATTCTAGACGGAAATTTTCGTCTAGAATATTTTATCCTAGACTGAATATTCTAGACGGAAATTTTCCGTCTAGTTTAATACATTCTAGACGGAAAAAATTCCGTCTAGAATATTCCATCTAGAATACGTGGTTTTCTACTAGTGTTCATTAGTAGCAAAGACCAAATATTTTTTAAGTATAAGAGATTTATTGAGGGTATAAAGCTGACGGAGACCAAGTCCTCCACAATTTTTAGGTTCACAAACTTTGGTTGATGCCACTTTGGCTTTTGAATGCACACCATAGGATCCTGTCCATAAAAAATTGTTGTGGGCAGCGAAAATTTTAGCGGCACCTCGGCGCAACAACAAGAGAGTTAGGTCGCAATAGAAATTCTCGTTTCACAAAGGAAACAAGAATCAAAAGCAAAATATCTCAACAAAGTAGGATATCAGCTCTTCCTCTCATCAGTTCTAGGACTGACCTGTCGAGGGAACCTAAATAAGCTATTACAAATCACACAACCAGCGTGACAAACTAATTTTACGTGGTTCTGCAAATTACCTATGTCCACGGGGCAAGGAGGGGGGAGATCTACTATTAGAGGGAGAGAATACAACTAGGGTTTACAATCTCACAACCTAAACTCTCAAACAATCTCTCAAATCGCTCACAAATATCTCCACCAATGGATGCTCAAAACTTAACAAAAGCCGCTGCAATTTTTCTCCACTTACTGCAGCCACCAAGCCTCTGCACTTTCACGCTGCCAAAAGAAAAAAATAAACAGCCGTAGAAACCACAAACAGTTGCACTCGATTTCCCCCCTCTACCTCCTCCTAGCACAAAACCCTTGGTTCGTATATTTATAGGAGAGGACTTGGGTGTTCGGGTGGGCCATCACCACGCGGAAACAACGAAACCGCGTTCTCTGCATTGTTTTTTTTAAAGCTTGCACGTGGGTGGCCCCCACTTCCTATCCGCGTTCATAATTCTCCTCCTCGGCGAAGTTTCTTCCAAACTGAACCGACACCATAAGCATCCAAAAGTCTCACTTGTTGTGTCCAGTACGCCGTGAAGTGTATTCACGACAACGGACTCAATCTACAACAAGCTAGGAACCCGAACGAGAGTCCAAACAATCTCACCCCCATAAAAAACAACTAATCTAAACCGGCTGCATCGTAAAGACTGCCTACGTATCCTCTTGCCTAATGAATCAAATCTCACGTAGTTCACCCAAATGGCCGCCAACAGCCCCAACAATCACGAATGTGTAACAAGTATCGACAATGATCAAACTTGTTGCTCGGAACCATCTTAGTGAGCATATCCGCCGGATTATTTTTCGTGTGGACCTTCACAATTTTCACATCGCCATCTTCAAGAACATCCCGAACGAAGTGATAACGAACATCAATATGCTTTGTCCGCGTATGAAAAACCTGATTATTCGCCAAATAAATAGCACTCATGCTATCACAATGAATAATGACGGACCGCTACGATATACTAAGTTACTCCAAAAGTCCTTGAAGCCAAATGACCTCTTTCATAGCCTCCGTAACCGCTATATACTCTGCCTCCGTCATAGACAACTTGAAGCCAAATGACCTCTTTCATAGCCTCCGTAACCGCTATATACTCTGCCTCCGTCATAGACAAAGCCACCGTAGACTGTAAGGTGCATCTCCAACAAACCGGCACACGGGTCAAAGTGAACACGTACCCCATCGTGGACCGGCACTTATCCAAATCCCCAGCATAATCCGAATTAACATAACTAATGCACAACTCCCCACCTGTAGTGTCCCGCTTATAAACTAAACCAGTATTGAGCGTACCTTGAATGTATCTCAAAATCCATCTCACGGCGTCCCAATGACCTACTCCTGGATCGTGCATGTATCTCGAAACCATGCTCAACGCTTGTGATAAGTCCGGTCCCGTACATACC